CAGTTTAACGGTCTGGATGGACGCGGAAGTTTGGAGAGCCCGCGAGAAGCGAAAGAGTTACAAGGCTTGCTTGATTCTTCCTTCACATTTTTTGTCTGAAAAATAAAATTCACTTTTCCATTGCTAATGCTAATGATAGCGCAAGTTTAAAAAAAGAAATGGTTCAAAAGTCACGGTTTTTGGTCGTTCACAAACAACAAACAAACTTGTGAATGAAGCTGGCAACGATTCCACCCGGGTTAGCGGGCAAGATCGTAAAATACCGCCCGCTCTCGGAACCAATCAGATTGCAGGATTTGAAGGATTCCGCCCCCTTGCAAGCTTAGAAAAAAATAAAAGTTTATCTATATAATAAGGAAACTTGAAACTTGAAACAAAGAGTCTCTCGAAACGTAACTGAGATAGTCATGAAAACGAAGGGTCCGCAAATTTGCTGCATTCCTTATTAGAGTTGAGGGCCAGATTGTACTTTCTTATGTAAGATGCTTTGAATAGGCTTAGTAGATTAGCGGGGTCGTTTTCATGCACAATAATGGTCTTGATTGTAACGCCTTAATTTGAATCAAACTCGCTCGACGATGTGGCTTTTGTTTGGATGTATCATTTTTTTTTCACATGTAAGAAACGTATGCGATTCTGAATGGACGTATTATGTTTTTTACATGTGAAAAGCATTGTTCGCTCCTCTGATTGGCTATAACTCATTTTTGTAGGAAAAGCCAGTCCACCCTCCATTCAGTGTGCTGACTGGCTGTAGCAATAGACACTCGTCTACTCAATAATGAAACCGGGTGCTACTGCTATGAATTTCAATGAAATAATTAAATTATGCACATTTTTCTTATTTATCAATGTAAACCAAGCTTATTGTCATAAACAAGGAGATGCGTTTTTATGTAAGTTGAAAAAGAGGAAGCTAGAGTTTGTGGAGTTCATACCGGATTAAATTCCTCAAAACAATAGGCTTTTTTCGGAGTGACGCTTTGGAAATTTGCCGAGATCACGACGACCTGTCCGTGGCATGGATGACCGTGAAAAACGCGTCGAAAGCGTATTTTTCAGAAGGGTGAGAAATGTAAGTTGCTCTTACAGGACGATGTTTTCACAGGCGTACCAAGGGGAAAATTGCACCAGCCACGAGAGAAAGTTTTAATTGTACCGTCTTAAGTTTGTTAGCGTATTTAACGGCAAGATCTTCAGTGCCTTTACATGTGAAATCGAAGTATCAGTACAGTGAATTCTGTTCCAAGAAATGGAAAACCGATTTTGTAACGTTACTGTATACAGTTCTGTGTATAGCGGTAAATAATAGATTTTTTCACTTCCTTGTTACATCGTAACAGTGCCTCTAAAAAAAATCATGCTCAGATTTTTAAAAGGTATGTTTGTGCCCAAACCGGAATAGTGTTTGCGTGTTAACAGTCCTAAAAATCCTTCCGGACTTTGATCACCGGTGTTATGTTTTCAAGGAAGTTAAGAGTTCTAGGAGCTTTCAGTTGTTTTGCCAGGCTACTTTCGCTATGACACTACCTCTGAATTAAAATCATAACAGCTTCATAAACTAACGTTTTGTAGCGGAGCTCCACGCGCGCGCGCGAGCGGAGCCCCATAGCTACAGAAAATCTATCCATTCCAGAAAATTTGGTAATCACGTGACTGTCCGTCCTCACCATAGGCAAACCAGTGTTTAATCTCACACTTTCTACCTATAGATAGTAGTTTGGGAACCCAGGTACAACCTGATATCGCAGATCCATGTTGTGATCAATTGACAGCTGTCAAAACAGGATATCCGCTGACCAGTATCAACCTGACCGTATCGCGGGCTCAGGTATCGGCCCATCGAGGTCGAGTATTTTTTGAGGTTATCCGCTGACAAGTTGATAGTTTTCAAATGATCGCAGGTTCAAGTTCAATTTTTTTAAATGCATAGGAAATAAGTTGTATTCATGAGTTGCAGTAATAAAATTTTGATTTCAAACTGACCTCGGACTCGAAAATTTAGCCAGTTTTTACAGGAAGGGAAGGAAGCTACTTTTGACTCACTATGGTCACTCGTTGATCACGCTTTACGTCCAATGTTTATGCTGTGATTGGTCAAGATTTTACAGGTGAGTTCATGCGAAAAATTTGCGCAGCGTCTAGAAACTTGTTTATTGATAGCTAAGGCTAACAGAGTTTTGTGTCATCTTGTAATGTTCTTAACAGCTGCTTTCAAGATTGTTTTATTATTCATGGCTGGTTTTTTTATTGGGTTACGCTTGTCAAAGTCATTGGAAATCCGATTTCAGAGGCATCGCGTTCACAAGTCACTTAATGAGTAAGAGGGTTGAAAAGTCTCAGGCGATTTCGGCCTTACTTGATGGCTTTCAGGAGCTGTATCTCGAGTAGTAAGCCTGAGCAATTATTTTATTTAATGTTTGTTGTTGTTGTTGTTGTTTTTCTGGTTTCATGAAATCGAGCGTAGTTTATGCGGCTATGCACGTTTGTAAGATTAGAGATTTGAGACAAATGATCTGACCTAGTATATCAGGTTTTGACAAGCTTACAGAACTTTAAAAGCCTTCAGACATTTTCTGACCTCAAATAGAAAGAAAACGTTCCGAAGAATATCTAGTTATAAGCTTGGCTGTAAAAAAAAAAAGCTTTGAGTGATTTTCTTGCCTCGAGTTCATCTTGAAAAATAGCAAACACTGGAAAGCCGGCTTATAACATAAATCTGCAAGGTTGTTTATATGTTGAACCCTACGTGACTCAGGATTTTCAGAGACACTTTTATCTCAATACTTGTGTTCGTGAATGAAAATTGTAGTCTCTGTAAATGTTTCACCGAATTCTATTTCTTTCATTGGTTGTTAGTGGCGTCTCTTGCGATTTTTTTTAAAAATCGCTTTGCTGGTTGTTATCAGTCGAACATGAACATCGCTTGCGGGAGTACTCAAACTGCCGCGCGTATCAAACGCTTTTAAAGATTACACTCGATTACACATAGTAAAACCATTAAATGAAGAATTAAAATTACAAATTGTTTATTATGTTGTTCAAACAAGCAATAGCTCGCACTGCAAATTGGGCGCTTGTCAAAGGCTGTGTAGGTGATTTTGGAAATTTTTCAACGTTTTCTCTGAAAACCCATTTTTTGCCCTGCTTGCCACATAGGAGCAGATTGTTCCGACTGAACAGTCCCGACAATATGAAATTCTCTTCATGAAAAAGTTTGAAAATGTGGTCAATTCTATAATTTGCTTTGCAAAGGAAGCGACGGCTTCGATCGTCCTGATTATTGAATGAGCACAATTTGTCCTGCAAAATTGTTAAAAACCGCATTCTTTCCGAGGTATGTAAGCTTACTAAAAAAACACCGCCTCAAAGTACTTTTTACCTCAGATGCGATGTATAAAAAGCATTAATGACTGGCTTACACGTCACCAGAGTTGTTGCAAGATTTTAAAAAGTAAACTTGTCGAACACAAAAAAATTCGGTTTGATTTTTCATTTTGGCCTCCCTTTTAGACAAGGGAATACAACCTGTAAATTAGAAATGTGTTATTTGGCTAATCTACTGTGATCAAGAGCCATTATGGCTCTTGACTCTTCGAAGATGATTGCTATTTTTTGGGTGTCCATCTAAGGCTATTAACTCGATGTAAGATTTTTTTCATTCTAATAATAATAATAATAATAATAATAATAATAATAATAATAATAATAATAATAACCAAGCAATAGAAAACCCAGAAAATCTGCCTGATTGGTTCACTACAGCACAAACATATTTACTACCAAAGAACAAAGACACAGAGGACCCCAAAAACTATAGACCAATTGCCTGTTTATCAACATCCTACAAGGTGCTCACATCGATTTTAACTGAAAGAAGCTACACCCATATCACAAAGAATGATATATTGCCGGAAGAACAGAGAGGTTGTGTCAGGGGTTCATATGGATGCAAAGATCAGCTCCTAATAAATAAAATGATCATAGAAGACTGCAAAAAGAAGAAAAAGAACTTGAGTATGACTTGGATAGACTACAGAGAAGCCTATGATAGTGTTCCTCACAGCTGGATACTGAAGACCTTACAGATTTACAGATTTAATGAAAAACTAATCAAGTTCATGAGAACCTCAATGTGCAACTGGAAAACTACGGTGAAGCTATCTTACAATGATGGATGTATCACAACAGATCAAATCACTTTCAAGGAGATTCATTCTCACCTCTGCTATTTTGCCTAGCCCTTGTGCCTTTAACATCAGAGCTGGCTACATCTGGGTATGGTTACAAGATCTTAAATACAAGTGCTCCAATAAGCAATCTGTTTTATATGGATGATCTAAAATTGTATAGCAAGAACGAGCAAGAACAAGTTGGAGAACTGAAAATAGTGAAACAATTCAGTGATGATATTGGTATGGAATTCGGACTTGAGAAATGTGCCAAAGCCAGTTTCATGAAAGGTAAACTGGCCTCAACTGGAAACATAGTAATAGATGATGACACAGAAATACAAGAGTTGGACCAGGAAGGAGTATACAAATACCTGGGTGTAGATGAAAGTGATGGTATCCAGCATAGCAAAATGAAAGAGAAGATAAGAAAAGAATATAATAGGAGAGTAAGATTAATCCTAAGAACTGAGCTCAATGGAAGAAACAAAATAGAAGCTATCAATAGTCTTGCAGTCCCAGTTGTGCAATATAGCTTTGGCATCATTGACTGGAAAATCTCAGAACTGAAGAAGATTGACACAAAAACACGCAAACTACTGAACTTTACATCCTAAAGCAGATGTGAAAAGGCTGTACATCCCAAGAAAAAATGGAGGTAGGGGCCTGATTGATGTAGAAACAGCATTCAAAACTGCAACAATAGGGCTTGATCACTATCTGAAGCACAAGGAAGGGCAATATCCAAAGCAGGTGCTTGAACATGAAAGATCTAAAGCCAAAAGTTCAATATCCAAGAATGCTACTAAATTCAAAAGGGAAGTAACAATGCCAGAGATTGAGTACAGAGAAGATAAATCTGCCTCTGAAAATGCTAAAACCCTGAAACACGTGTTTAAGTCCAGGATGAAGTCAATGAAAGAAGAGAAAAACAAAGCATTGCATGGCCAGTATCCAAAGATCCTGGAGAAGCCTCATGTAGACACAGTCACCACCTACAAATGGTTGTCAAGTAATTTGAAAGGAGAAACAGAGGGACTACTTGTTGCAGCTCAAGACCAGGCAATAAACACCAGAAACTACCAGAAAGTAATATGTGGCCAGCAAGTGGAGAGCAAATGCAGATTGCGTTCGCAACATGAAGAGACAGTGGACCATATTGTATCTGGATGTGAGGTATTAGCCAAAACAGAGTACATCTCCAGGCACAATAATGCTGCAGCATATCTCCATTGGAGCATATGTAAAGATCATGATATAGAGATTACAGACAAATGGTACGAACACGAACCAGAGACCGTGATACACAATAAAGATAACAACATCACCATCATGTGGGACATGCCAGTCAATACTGATAGAACTATAACAGCGAACAGACCAGATATCATCGTTAAAGATTCAGTGAATTCCACCTGCAAACTTATTGATATGACTGTTCCATCAGATAGAAACATCGCACTGAAGGAAACTGAAAAAAAATGCAATTACAAAGACCTAGAACTAGAAATACAGAGAATGTGGCATATGAAAACCGTAGTGATCCCTGTGGTTGTTGGTGCGCTTGGTACAGTGAAGAAGGGTATGGTAGAAACATCAAGAAAGTATCAGAAAGAGCTAATATGACAGAGATTCAAAAGATCTGCATGCTGGGATCTGCACGAATCCTCAGAAAGGTGCTCAGTGTATGAACAGAATGATTGACTTGAGTGACTGACGCTCTAGGTGCATGGTTTGCGCCCGGCTGATGCACAAAAAGAACACCAGCAAAGACTGGGATAATAGAGACAATAATAATAATAATAATAATAATAATAATAATAATAATAATAATAATAATAATAATAATAATAAGAATAGTATTATTTATATAGCGCCTATACCGGCTTTCAGTGCTAAGCGCTTTACAATGCTTTAAAAAGGTCCGGATAAAAAATAAAAATCTTAGAATCATTTACATATAGTCTTTACATAGCCACAAAAATAAGCAAGATAAAAACCTATGATAGTTAGTAAACTCGCTTAAAAAGAAAGGTATTCAATTTAGATTTAAATTTATTTACATCATCGATCGATCTGATATCAATAGGCAGATCGTTCCAGAGTATAGGGGTAATAACTGAAAAAGCCCTTAACCGTATGTCTTTAAGTTATAGGGTTTTTAAGCAAGACACCACTTGCCTGAATATGAGCGAAGGCACCTCGCAGGTCCATAAACTTGGAGTAGGTCTACCAAATAACCAGGAGCTAAATTGTTGAGTATCTTAAAACATATAAGACTAATCTTAAATATTATTCTTTGCTTCACTGGTAGCCAGCCATTTTTAGCTTGGTATTTTATATTATGGCACTTCCTGCTCTCTTGTAGAATAAAGAAAGGTTTTTGTGTCTTGCTAGACAATTCATAATCTGAGTGTCAAACAAGGATAAAAGAATTGACGAGCTTGATATTAAAAGCGCCAGGAAAAAAATACAGCAAGGATTTTCTTCGGCTGAATAATTCAATCGAGTGGGATGAAAACTGCACAAAGGCTTTGTAAAAAGAGCTAATTACACATACCGATTTTAAGGTTTTGAATTGAATTCGAATAAAAGAAGGCGATGTGAGTAACAATTTATGACCAAAAAAATGAAAACGGCGATAACCGACTGCTGGAAAAGTGATTCGTGTTGTTTATTTAAGATTGAAAGTTAAAATGCAATAATTGACAACAGCCTTTTCTGATAAGTAGAAAACTAGCGAGGCAAAATTCAATGAAAAACGGCAGAATCTAGATTCATACAGCAAAAATGGAAAACAAAACTACAAACAGAGCAAAAATGTCCAATAAACGGTGCAGTACTTACAGAGCGGTTATAAAACTGGTGAAGCGACATCACAAGCCACCTGTTTTGCTTTACTTTGGCGGTTTTCCTGGCTGACTTGCTTGATTCTCAGGCTTCAGATTTTTTTGTCCGAATAATAAAATTCAGTTTTCCTTACTACAAACAGAGCAAAAATGTCCAATAAACGGTGCAGTACTTACAGAGCGGTTATAAAACTGGTGAAGCGACATCACAAGCCACCTGTTTTGCTTTACTTTAGCGGTTTTCCTGGCTGACTTGCTTGATTCTCAGGCTTCAGATTTTTTTGTCCGACTAATAAAATTCAATTTTCCTTACCTAATGTTAATAATAGCGCAAATTTTAAGACAAAAATGGTTTGAAAATGACGGTTTTTGCTCATTCACAAACAACAAACAAACTTGTGAATGAAGCTGCCAACGATTCTGCCCGGGTTAGCGGGCAAGATTGTAAAATACGGCCCGTTCCGGAAACAATTGCAGGATTTGGAGCATTCCTCCCGCTCGCAAGCTTGGAAAAAAATAACTGCTAATATCACACTTCAGTCAATGAAAACCTAATAATAATAGTTGAACGAAAGCGATTTGTGACAAATTTGTGACAAATTTCCTTAACAGTTAAAAAACTGTTTGTTAAAATTTGCTTAAGTTGTTTTAAAAAAAATAGAATTACTAATTCTAAGCTGTGTGTAAGTGCATAAAGAAATGCAACGACTGGATTTTTCATTAAGCTACTAAATTCAAAATTTAAGGCTTGTTTTCAATCGTCCATGTTACCATGGCGACCACCGGAATCTTACTTTTAACCTACTAAACATAATTTCCTTTAAACTGATTTTTCCTTGGCAAACTTTGGCCTTATACGAGTCTTAAATAACACTCCAATGAATTGTGGTGACTCACAACCTATCAAAATGTGTTCATCTACCTTAACACCCTAACCGTGGTTTCCATGCCAGCGCCAAACGCCATGCCGAATGAGTGCTATGCAGAAATGATGTATGTATGTATGTAAATCTTTATTTAAACACGGGAAATCATCAGTTAAGCTTAAGTTAAAAACTAAAACTAATTACAACTGCTTTACATGATTGCCGTGTGGGAATCCGATATATCAGCTACCTTCTTGATATTTCGCTTAAAATGCTCAACGGATGCAGCGTTTTTTAAGTTTTTGGGCAAGTTATTCCATAACATGGCCCCGCTGTAAGAGAAGCTTCGCTTCAAATAATTGGTGCTTGGTTTGGACAAGGTCAGCCTTCCCTCAGAGTTTCTTAAGTTGTAAGCAGATTGACGCTGAGAGAAAAGACTTTGCAGATATTCTGGAGCAAGGTCATTCATGGTTTTATACATCATTACGGCTTTTTGTTTCTTTCGTCGAAGAGATAGCCTCTCCCAGCTGAGGGTGGAGAGAAGGTGGTTTGAGCTCGCATCAAAGGGTGATTTAGTAATAACTCTGGCTGCACGATTCTTTAATTTTTGGAGCTTATCACTCAAGTAACCACTCAAACAGTCCCAGACGGGGCTGCAGTAATCAAAATGAGGCATAATTAAAGCGTTATAAATTTGAATTGCAGTTTCTTTGGATATAAACGGCCGCACACGTTTTAGGGCGCCTATAGCTGAAGAGACTTTCTTGCAAATCTCTTCAACGTGTTTACCCCAAGAGAGTTGAGCATCTATGGTAAGACCCAAGGATTTGGTATGATCGACTCTCTTAATAATTTGGTCATCAATTCTGATTTCTACATCGTCACATTGGGCAGATAGTCTTTGTCTTGATCCAATAATCATTAGCTCTGTTTTAGCAACATTTAGACTGAGCTTGTTAGCTTTCAGCCAACAGCTAAGGTTATTTAATTCAGGGGTTAGAGCTAGCTTAAGCTCTGTTAACGTCTTAGCAGATAACGTAAGGTTGGTGTCGTCGGCAAACATTCTTGGTACGGCGCCCCGCAGGAGTTGGGAAGATCATTAATGTAAATTAAAAATAGCAAAGGACCCAATATGCTACCCTGCGGCACGCCGCAACTGAGGGTACGAGCAGATGATAGTTTGCCACTGACATTACATCTTTGGGTTCGGCCACTTAAGTACGACGAGAACCATTTTATAGCTGCCTGATCGACACCCAAGTACGACATCTTACGCAAGATGATCTCATGATCAATGGTGTCGAATGCCTTAGTAAGGTCAATAAAGACAACGCCATTTAGAAGGCCATTGTCGATGTTTACTGACCAAGCATTTGTTGCCTCAAGCAAAGCCGTGAGCGTACTATGTAGAGAACGGAACCCTGATTGGCAACCTAGTAGCAATTTATTATCATCTAGATAATGGAAAAGTTGATTATAAACAATTCTTTCAAAAACTTTCGAAATTATAGGGATTACAGATATCGGCCTGTAGTTGTTAGGGTCCGATTTAATGCCCTTTTTAAAAAGTGGAGTCACTTTGGCTGTTTTCCAATCGTTTGGATATATCCCAGTGAGAATAGACTTTGAGAATATTGAGGTAAGAGAGGGTGCGACGATGACTCCATAAAAAGACTCTAAGCAGCCTCTCAAACTTGTTTGCGTTTCCAGTTTGGGAGCAATTAACATCATTTGCCTATTATATTACATGATAATTCCCTCAATCTTTATTAATACATCCATGCCCTAACAATTCCATTTATTCTTCTATTGAATGCTTATACCTACAGATCTTTCGACTTCTACGAGGGAGATAATGAACATCGTCCTGGCCGAACGATTATCACTGGAGGACTTTGGAACGTTTCCTTTCACATAGTCACAGCCTACGATAAATTTCTCCAGAAAATCGGTTTCTTCTTGGCCAATCGAAGACCCTTGGATCTCCTTCTGCTTTCACTATTTTTCTTTGTTGCAAGCTGCTTCGGTTTTATTCGGCTAAGTGTTGAGCAGCCGTCCAGTAAGCAATTTATTGTGGCTGATGGCCAAACCAGAATCGACTTGAAGTATGCGGCACAATTCTTTCCACTTCTTCATTCACGCCAAGAGCAGATAATCCTGATACCTAAACAAAATCGAAACATCCTCGATGAGGAATGTTTAAAGGAGGCAGTGCTCGTGCACCAGACAGTTTTGAACATTAGCAATTACCAAAATTTGTGTTTCAGAAAATCATCGGCCCTACCCACAAGAAGCACCGAAATCCCTGACCAGCAAACGTGCGTTGTTAGCAATCCTTTGGATTTTGCTGGTGCTAACTTTGAGCATCTAAGCAACCTGTCTTTAATTCTGGCTCGTGAGAAGTCTTATCCAAGGACCACTTTTTCAGATGGTCAGTCTTTGGAAACCTCTTACAGACAGATGCTAGGTAGTTTTCGGGTCAATAATAAAACAAGACTGCCAACTGCGCAGGCTGAGGCTCTTCGAATTTCATACTTTATTAGAAAGACAACCAATGAGGAACAGGACCAGGAAGTTTTGGACTTTGAGACCTCTTTTGAGCACATGGTATCATCAATTGAGAATCGGCTGAAATACTCATCGCTCTTTTATAGGAGTGGAAAATCAACCGATATTGCTCTACAGCAGGTTTTGAAAGCGGATATGAGGGTAATCTATTTATCACTTTTAACAGTTATATTTCTGGCACTGTTTTTCGTTTACATTACCGTCCATAATATCACTAGTTTAACAGCTGCCTTATTTTTGCTCTCAACTGGCTTGTTGCCCTTCATATGCTCTGCAGGCATTGTTTCAATGGTAGGCATTTCCTTTTCACCAACCACTTTTTTCATTCCTTTTCTTTTGCTTGGAAAAGCAACATCAGACTTAGCCTTCTTCTTAAACGAATGGGATCGGCTACACAACGTACTATCGATTGAATACCGAGTCACCAGCTGCATTGCAAGAGTGGGAACTGTCCAAGTCTTTTCGGCGCTTTGTGGAACAATTCTTGTAGGGATTGCCATCAAATCTTCGTTTGAAGTTATTTCTCGTTTCTTCCTGGTGACACTCATAGCCTATGTACTTGTTTCAGGGGCGTCTTTTCTAATAACTGCAGCGTTAACGCGGTTACTAGAAAGTCAGCTAAAGCCATTAAACACATTCTGCGCGCAGCCCTGTGACAAAAGAGAAAGAGGAAAAGTACATAATAAAATGCGAAACTTTGTAAAGAATTTTCCTCGTTTACAAACTTCATTCGGTGGTAAAGTGTTTTCACTCTTCATTTTGATCTGCTTTATAAGTTTTTTTGTGTTGTCTGCTTTATACGGTGGTGAGAGAACAGGTGCCACAGAGAACCTTAACCGACAGCATAATAACTTCAACAAGTTCAATGAGGCACAAAAAAAGTTCTTTGGAAAACTAGCCGATGTAAGTATCGTGTTCTCCAGGGAGACTGATTACTCACAGAAAGCTATCCAAGATCAGATGCTTCAAATCTGTAAAACTCTGGGGAAGGCTTCTTACAGTCAGACCAAACCAGTATGTTGGATCACTGCCCTGTCAAATTGGGCAAGGAATGGAAATGAGAGCTGCCTAAATTCACAATTTTACAGGTGCTTAAAGCGATTCCTGAATACATCACATAGTGTCTCTTTCAGACAAGATGTACGTTTCCATGAGAACAATCCTCGTTCTACAAGTTTAGCATCTCGTTTTCATGTTAACTTGGAACTGCACAAGCGACTTTATAAGAACAGAGAGTCACTAGACAAACTGAGAGATGACTTGAAACTCTCCCCTAAAGCTAAACCGGTGTCTAAGACATTTTTCAAGATTGAAGACCTCTCCTCGTTGGAAAGTGAAACCGTCCTCTTACTCATCATTGCCACAGTTGTAGTCTTTGTGACCACGCTGCTTTCAAGTACTAGTTTGAGGATCAGTATCTGCCTAACGCTATTATTTGGCTTACTTATAGCGGAGACAGTAACCTTCATGGAAGTGTGGACAATTAACCTGAATCACATCACCTTCATTTCTTTATATTTCACGGTTGTCTTAGCACAAAATTTCAGCGTTCAAGTGGGTCATTCGTTCATATTTTCAGACAAACCCGTCGTAAGAGAACGCGGGAGCAAGGCTTTGTGCTCGGTTGGGTGGCCTATATTTGTTGCAGCATTTTTGGAGATATCAGGCTCCATTTCATTGGGCTTCATTTTTCCAAGTTTACAGAATATTTTTTTACGACTCATTCCCGTTGTGTTTGCCTTGGGACTAATCCATGCTCTGGTAATCTTGCCACCGGCACTCACATTAATTTTCGGGTTCAGAAACAGCTTTGACGTCCAAAAGATGCTGCTCAAGCAAACGAAACAGAAAAGGAGAAAAATGTCTGTTGAAATTCGATATGTTGATACACCACTACGAGCGACATCCAAGCGTTCTGCCATATCCATTGTTGGCATCAGTTGCAGGTTTCCTGGAGCAAACAATAAGACTCTGTTTTGGAATTTACTTGAGCAAGGCAGGAGCTCTATTACTGATTTCCCACAGAACAGAAAAGAGGAACATGAAAAGTTTTTCCGACTATATCATCACAAGCGGTTTGTCAATGGACGTCACTGTGCTGTCAGAGGCTCTTATTTGGATGACATTCTATCTTTTGACAACACGTTCTTCGGTATATCCGATCAAGAGGCTCGAGGAATGGACCCCCAACAACGTATGCTGTTGGAAGTGGTGTATGAGGCCATTGAGGACGCTGGAATGCGCCTTGAGGATCTTCAGAGATGCAGAACAGGGGTCTTTTTGGGTGTGATGAACTTAGAATACAGTACTCTGATAGTACATCCATCAAATTACAACAATATTGACCAGTTTTCATCAACAGGCATAACAGCGTCAATATTAGCAAACAGAGTCTCCTTTTGCCTCAACCTAACAGGTCCAAGTATTGCGGTCGATACCGCGTGCTCGTCATCCTTAACAGCACTCAAACTTGCTTGCGATCACCTAGTTAACGGCGATTGCGACATAGCAATAGTTTGTGCTCCTAACATTATCTTAAGCCATGCCATGCAGATAGTATCTAGCATGGCTGGCCTTCTAGCTCCTGATGGGCGCTGTAAGAGTTTCGATGCCTCTGGAGACGGTTATGGAAGGGGAGAAGGCTTTGCAGCAGTTGTTCTCAAGCTTTCTGGTGCAGCTTTGAATGACAAAGATGATGCATATTGCGAGATAATCGCTTGTGGTATGAACAACGATGGTCATAATGCTGTACCCATGACAGCACCAAGTGCAAAGACGCAAGCTGCACTATTTAGGATGGTCCTTGATCAGGCAGGTTTGAACCCAGAGGAAGTCGATTACCTTGAGGCCCATGGCACTGGAACTGCTATCGGAGACGTTATAGAAGTCACTTCAATAGGCGACGTCTATACAAGAGGAGCCACACGACAGCTCAAAATCGGATCTGTCAAGTCGAACCTCAATCACACAGAATCTACCTCAGGCCTGGCTGGGCTCATTAAAGTCGCATTGATGATCAAAAACAAGAGATTCGTGCCAACTGTTAATATCCGTGTTTTGAATCCAAAACTAAAACTAAATGAAAAAGGACTTATTGTGCAACAAACTAACGAACCTTGGATCACAGAAAGAGGAAAACCACGAATTGGTGCCGTAAACTCGTTTGGTTATGGTGGAACAAACGTACACGTTCTTGTTCGAGAAGTTGCAGTAAAACCAAGCTTAGATGAAGATAATGGCAAAAGTCGACGTCCGCATCATATTCTCACTTTGACTGCACCTTCTCAAGAAGCTCTCAAGCGAATGGCACGGCTCTATGCTCAGTGGCTGGAAGATGAAGCTGAGGAAAATGCGACTTTTGTGGAGAACTTGTGCTACTCACTGAACGAACGCCGCAGTCAGTTTTCCCATCGCTTAGCACTTACCTTTGAAGCTGTATCCGAGGCTTCCAAGATTTTGACGGAGTATGCCAACGACTCAGTAGGAGTGGAGAGGGTCGTTGCCTACGGAGAGATAAACGCAGCTGATCCAAAGCTTGTCTTCTTATTTGGAGGACAAGGGTCCCAGTGGTATGCAATGGGAAGACAGCTAATTGAAATCGAACCTGTATTCAAAGATGCTTTTTTAACTGTCCACAATCTGATAAAAGATCTGGGGAAATCGATGTCACTTTTAGATGAGATCATGGCATCAGAGGAGAAATCAAGGATCGCAGATAATTCCATTGCTCAGCCGGCTACGTTTGCAATACAATATGCCACTGCAAAACTTCTGATGTCTTGGAGAATCTATCCCTCCGTTGTACTTGGTCACAGTCTTGGAGAGATTGCTGCATCTTGCGTTGCTGGGATCATAACACTAAAGGAAGCAGTTCAACTGGTGTTGGCTCGCTCCTCTCTACAAGATCAGTGTCCTAGTAATGGTAGCATGGCAGCCTTAGGTATGTCCGAAGAAAGAGCAAGAGCACTACTAGATGAGTTGAAGCTAACTGCTACTCTTTGCATTGCCGCAATCAACGATGCAGAGAGCGTGACAGTGTCTGGTGATGTTGAATCAGTTGAAGCGTTGGGTCATCACATTGCTATACACGAAAAGGACACTTTCTGGCGTGTTCTTGGAACAAAAAGGGCATTCCACAGCTCACACATGGAGTTCATTAAAGGGCCATTTCAAGCAGCACTGAAGCGTATTTCGTTACACCCTAAGCTGTCCAAGATTCCAGTATACTCTACAGTCGATGGAGGAGTGCTCTGTGGTCAAGAGTTCAACAACGAGTACTGGTGGCGTAACATTCGCTGTCCTGTCCAGTTTTACCCAGCAGTGAAACGCCTCTTCGAGGATGGCTACAAACAGGTCGTTGAGATAAGCACCCAGCCTATTTTAGCACACTATGTTAGAAAGATTGCTTCGCAAGTGAACTTACAAGAAGAAGCATTGCCAATCGTTATGGAGACCCTTCCTCGTAAGAGACTACCTGTCAAAGAGCAGTGCAAGTCTTTTCTTCTAAACACAGTGTGCAAACTGTACACACTTGGTTTTCCTATAGATTGGACTTGTGTGCAGCAAAATTCTTCTGCAAAGTTTGTCCGCTCGTTGACCTATCCATGGCTTAAAAACCCTCTCTGGTATAGAGAACGACCGCCTGAAACGATAATTCAAACACCTGATGTCAAACCAAATGCAGTGACAAGACTTCATCCATTTTTAGGAAAGGTGAACCAAACCAGTCTGTATTCAGGCCTACACTGCTGGGAAACTGAAATTGACCTCCATCACTTTCCTGATCTTAGAGATCACGCTCTTATTCAGGGAACAACCGTGATGCCAGGAGCTGCGTACCTAGAAATGGCCTTTGCAATGGCGATGGATCAGTTTGTCCATGTAGCTGGTCTAGAACTCACTGATGTGAAGCTCTTGAGCCTTCTTACACTACCCGATACACAGGTAGCTTCAATATAATCTATTTCTTAATTATTTCCTCTATATATGTTCTTTTCAAGAATATTTATTGAAGTGCGTAAAGAATAACCGGTTGCATCAATCTTGAGTATCGCGAATCATGAAATTGTCACATAACTCCTTTTAAATGGTTAAACCATCCTTTTATGTTGCAGGTTCGATCTTTACGACTGCGTCTCCTGAAGACTAAAAGGACTGGTGAAGCAGAGTACTACATAACATGCGTACAGGAAGACCACGCGGAGATTTACCTAAGCAAGGGAAAAATTTATACGGATCTCCTGCAGACCAAAAAGACGGGTAGGTACTATCAAGAGATCTGTTTAATTCTCGTTAACTCCAAGTAGTCTTCCAGAAACTCAAAAGAGAAAAATAGAGAGCTTCACATTCGTCTCTTGCAGAAACTGAGAACTCGAATATCTTCTATAATTTTTGGTGTAAATTTTATTTCTAGTGGATTATTATACATGTATATTGCTTTCAGCCATCGTTTTCTCGCTTATCATTTTTAAGAAATATTTTATATTTTCTTCAAAACCCGAACTTTCAGGCATTACGGTGTCTAGCATAATATAAATCGTAACCCTTTATCTTTCATAGTCTCAGCATCTAACCTGGTAGGGCCGGCAATAAGTGAGCTAATGGAAGACATGGAACGAATGCCAAATAATGAGTTCAGAGAACTAACAGAGAAGTTTGGATTCAAATACGGCCCTTCCTTCTCCATCATCAAAGAGGTATGGAAACGTAAAAAAGAGGGGCTATGCCTGATAGACATCAAAGAGGCACACACCATACAAGAAGAAAGTAAACGTTATGTTGTACATCCATCTATATTAGATGCTTGCCTTCAATCCTGCTTTATTCCCTTAGCAAGTTCGTTGACGGGTGAGAAGTCTGTTGTGCCAGTTGGTTTCAAAAGTATTGCACTGAATGACTTACCATCAACAAAGCAGCTTTATTGCCACGTGACTGAGTATGTTTCCGATTCTGAAAGATTTGACGTCACACTTATGAGTCCAACTGGTTGCGTTTTGCTGACAATGACCGATTTACGAGTTAAAGAGATAACAAGCTCATCGCGTCAACTTTCTTTAGCTGATCTTGCTTACGACGTCCGGTGGAGTGAGGCTGAGTTAACAATACAGCGAGAAAGTAGCAATCCTCTGCATTGCATCGTACTAAAAGACTCCTCCCATTTGTCAAATTATTTGGTCTCATCACTTGAAGCTCGTGAAGTCAGTGTCATCTCTGTTAATCCTCCAGATGGTCAATTTTTTGACACTGAAGTCCAAGACACAATAAAAATCGCCTTCGCAGAGATTCCTGCGATTAATTCTTCTTCGTTAAGGGTTGTAAATCTCTGGCCTATGGACACATCACTTCTACCAGGCGATGTTGATGTCATTGAGCAAGCTCAACAACTCGCTTTTGGCAGTTCTGCGTTCCTAATTCGACTGTTGATAGAGAAAGAGCTGATGGATTCTCGACTGTTTCTGGTCACCGAGCTAACACAGCTTTTGGATACCTGTGACAGTTCTGGTAAGGGTAAATCCATTCCATGGGGTGCTACTGTCTGGGGACTGAAAAGAACAGCGAATCTTGAAGAAGTGAATCTCAGGGTTACCGCAGTTGACCTGTGTGACAAAGAAGATAAACGGGAAGTGGATTCCTTGGTCGATGAAATTTTAGGTGGCAGCATCGAAGACGAGGTGGCCTTTAGAGATGGTAGAAGATTTATAAGTCGTCTCGTCCGAGCAGACCTACACCAAGACATGTGCAAAACAATTACAAGAAAAGAGAGCAAGAATAAAAGACACCTATACCTTACAACAGCTCCTTCATCGAAATCGCTTTGCCTTCGTGAGCAATGTTTTCCAAAGACAACGGAAGTTGAAGTCATCGTAGAAGTTAGCTATTGTTGGACGCCCTCAGAAACACTCTTTGATGTGTCTAAACCAAATGGATGTGTCTTTGTAAGTGGAAAAGTGACTGATCTTCCTGGCTCTGGTAAGATTACTTTGCAAATTGGAGACGATGTATGTGGTGTCATTCCCTCTGGCCGCGTTGCACGTTTCATTCCAATACCGGTCAGTAATGTGTTTTTGAAACCTCCCAAACTGACAATGAAGCAAGCCACATGCCTTCCAGCATGCCTGGCACTGGCATATCATACTCTTCAAAAAGCAGCGGCTGGCGCCACAAAACAGAAGCTTCTTATCCATGAGGCAAATCGTGGTCCTGGACCCGCAACGGTAGTTCTGGGAAACACACTGGGTCACAGAGTTTTTTGCACTATTTCCGACACTTGCAGTTCATCCACGAAAAGTCTTCTCACCGGTTTGGGTGCAGAGAGTGTAAAGCGACAGAGCTCCACAGCATATAATGATGATTTAAACGATCCATTTGACGCTGTTGTGTTTCTTAATCCACCGTTTCCGAATGTCCTTCACAGAAGCGGTCCTAGTTTAAAGAGGGGAGGAAAAGTAATTATCCTTAGCAACGATTTTGAAGGCGATGTTATCTTTCCTGCAAACAAGAATCTTAAATATGAGAGAGAGAATATATTAGACATTTTGCGACCCCCGTCCGCTTTCGAGGAGCTAAGCATGCGAAGCATGCAAATTTTGGAAACCAAGGGAGTATCACCAGCGCTTCTTGGATTGAAGATAGAGTGTTTAGACTTGGTTGCATCAATTAAAGCTTTCAACGAGTTCTTTGACAGAACCTCATCTCTAAAAGATGAAGTGGCACAGTCTTCGAACATTTCATTTTTCATACAAGCACTTGGAACATTTGAAGAAGCAGAGAAACTTCAAGAAATCCCAGTGCTACCACAAGGCTTAGATGAGTGTGGTTTGAAAGAAAACAAATCCTATTTGGTAGCAGGAGGAGTGCGAGGATTTGGATTTGAAGTCGCCCGATGGATGGCGGAAAACGGTGCAAAGTCTATAGTACTCCTCGGCCGCTCCGTGCCCTCGGATTCCAAAATTCAAGAGGTACGTCAGATTGAGAAGAGAACCGGTGCGGCGATCCATATAATTCAGGTAAGTAAAGTAAAATTTCCTTTTCTGTTTTTGTTGTCTATCAGGCCCATCATCACTTATTGCAAATAGCTGTTTATCAGATTAGGGTGCTGCTTCTGTCAAAACCGACGTGCCTTAGAAGTGTTTTCGGACTATACAGCAATGCATGAAAAGACAACATACAAAAAAATCAAAACAAAAAGAGAAAGATAGTTTCTAATAATAAAAGATTATTATGGGCGACAAAAGAATTATGGGCGACAAAAGAACTAGACTTTTCCACGAAAGCATGACGACACTATCAAATGTAATTGATAGAAACATTGGTAGCAATATATATCTATCTGGATTTGCTAAAAGGCATCTCCAGGAAATTTTCCCAACATTCTCATTTGAGGCTTGTTTACTTTAATATTTTTCTTTGTTATGACATTTTGAATACCTAAATACTCTAACAAGCTGCAGTTGACATAAAGTCGTGTGTTTATAATGCTGTTTACATCTTTCTTCACCCCCACTCCCCTCCCCACGACGATCATTGCCCATAATCCTGTCCGTGTGATAAAACAATCTTATTTGAAATCAGCGTGCACGATAGAAGTTGTTTTCCTTCGTCGGTTAATTTTCTACAGTTCTTTTTGGCCGCCTGGAGGAAAGTTTCCGGAAGGCTTAATTAAGCATTATGAAGAAACAAGTTTCACGATTTGCAAAGTCTGCCGTCGCCCAATATCAGTTACCTAGTAAAAACAAAGGTATAAATTGTGACTACAGCCACTTGTTTCATGTGCTCTTTTGCAACGTCCTTTTTTCAGGTCGACATATCCAACCCAAAGCAAATGTCCTCCTTGGAAAACCGCCTTCAGTCCCTTCCAAATGTGGCTGGCATAGTGCACACTGCTATGATTCTAAGAGACGAATTTATTAAAGAGCTGAAATTACAGAGTTTTAATGAAGTCATGGGCCCAAAGATCAAAGGTGAGACAGCCTAAGTGACCAAGCCCTAAACTCTCAGGCTGAATTTTTGCTCTTGTCGACTACAGCATAATGGACTTTGTTAAAGGGCAGAATTCAAAGGCAACATTTTGCTAACAGGTTTAAAAGCCGCTCGCCTAAATTTAAAGGTTTGTTCAATATTAAAAGTTCCACAAATATTACCATTTTTTCCTTTTCAATTTATTGTAGTTTTCATTAGCAAAATGTACAAATTTGATTTTTAGGCTCTTTCTTGCTACACCAAATGAGCCTAGAGATGGATCTGGATTTCTTCGTGATGTTTTCGTCCATGGCGTCAATCGTGGGTAACGTTGGACAATCTTCATACTCCGCTTGCAATGCTTTCCAAGATTCTCTTGCTCAGTATCGCAGACATGTGCTTGGTCTTCCCGGACTTGCAATAAACTGGAGACCAATCAGTGGAGCTGGTGTAATGGAAAGAGAAACTGGAATCGCTAAATTGCTAACGCTGGCAGGGCTGGGTTTTGTTGATGCCAAGGATGGTACGTTGCAAATTTCTGAAAGCGAATGTCTTAGTAATCCGTTGACAATAATTACTGTGGATGAATGAATAACGTCTTCTTATCGCAGTGCGGTGGCCAAAATACCCCCCAAATGTGTCATTAAAGCGAGGCATTGTTGTAATTTATTTTTAGGCAAGAGTGAGTACAAAGAAAGATCAGCTGTTGTTGTCGTTGCTGTTTAAGCTAAAGTATTCCGCGGGGTGCCCTCTTAATTTCTCTGACGTCCCAAATTGACGGTTTTCACTGTTTTAGTCCCCTTCTAGAGCTCTTGCAGTTGATATGAGTTTGACTTTGAATTTAAAAATTTCATGCAACCGTTTATGTGACGTCATCCATTGTGAGGTCATAATTTGACATTTTACGTCAAGCAAAAACTTAAAATCATTTGGTCAACATTCGTAGTCTACCTGCAACTTTGGTCAAGAAATGAAATGAAATGTAAAATATACGTAAAATTGGCCTTAATGACACCTTTGAGGAGTGGTTTGGTTCCCCCGTGCACAGAGTTTGACTGGGCATAGCGTTGGACGTTAGCTGAACGTTATGGCGTTAAGTATTATGCAATTTACCTCCGTATTAATCGGTAATAATTAGGAATTAGGCAGTAGGTTGACTTTTCATTTAATTCATTTCGGCCAAACAAAAATAGAAACTAAAGAAACCGAATTGGAGCTCAATACCCCAAGAATAAGGCTATTCATCAACAATGAAAAAAAAAAAAGAAAAAGAAAAGAAAAGCAAAAACAAAAACAAGTTTATTGGTTTATTGCGAATCGTTAGGGTGCTTTTGTGGCTACTGAAATGTACTCTTGTACAAACGGGATGGTATCGATTTCACAGTAAAGCATGGGTTTTGCCCCAAAATAAGGAGAAGAGTGTTTGGTGTTTTCGATCGGAAGACACACGGCTGTTAACATTTATTTGTTGGAAAAGGGCACATGAAGGCCGTGGTTGTTAGACAACAAAATACTTGTTAGTGTTGTTTGACATCTACTTTCAAAGCATGAACGGCACAGCATAATTTATGTGTAATAAACTAGAGTCTTACTTATTGCTTGATTCGTCCTCTAAGGTGTTAAACATATGGTCAAAGTGTTAACTGAGGAGCCAGGCCGCTGTCAAATCTCACTCTTTAATGTAGACTGGCCTCTATTCTTAAAGAGCGGTGAAGGGCTGAAGAGAACGCTGCGACTTTCCATTATCAGATCAACAGTAAATGCCTCTGACAAAGAAACGAGCTCAACAGAGTCTCTGGCGCAAAGAATCGTTTTAGAGAAGGATGGAGAAAAGAGGGCAGGGCTTATCAACGAATACGTTAGTGTGTCAATGACGGTGTTACTGGGTGGCAATCTTTTGTCCTCTGAGACAGATCTCAACGCCAGCTTGTATAGCTATGGGGTTGACTCCACAACGGCCTTGAGTTTGAAAATGCACCTTGAAAAGGACTTGCAAGTTTCTTTTGAGGTACACTTTTAACTTCCAGATTTAACGTTAACTTATCAGTTACAATACATGGGTAGCCAAAACCGGCAGAAAACGGGTAGCATATTAATGATAGATGCTTAAGACCAAATGCCCCTGTGAGTCATTTCTTCTGGGAAATAGCTGTTTCCAGGTATGCTGAACGTCGGGATATTGTGATGCGACCTGGTGTGTTGTCCCAAAGGTCCAATCCCATACGGCTTGCAATCTATACCTGAGAGGATCGACCTTTTATACCTCAATATGACAAAAATAGCCTTTCGTTGCAGGTCTTCTACTTCATGCAGCCAGACACAACTCCTCTAAAGCTGGTTAGAGACCTAACAGCCAAGATGAATGAACGAAGACAAGGCACCCTTCCATCTGATGAACAGTCTCAAAATGATAAAAGAAAAAAGACCGAGCATGTGCAAGCACAGGCAACTGAAGACGTCTCGCCGATAACTGATGTATCTGAAAGCAAAATACAAGTTGTACCGCTGTACACTCCAGAGGGCTCAGCCATAAAGTTCTTCTGTGTCCATCCGTCGCACCGTTACGCGTTGAGTTTAATGCCGATCGCAGCAGGATTTCAAGGACAGGTAAATTTAACATGCAGTGTAGATGCTGATGAAGATTTATTTATAGAAATTATGGTAATTTCGTAAACCATAAGCTAAAACATTAAGAAAAATGTGATGCATTTCCTTTAGGAAAAAAAATACCCATCTCATAAACATTGATACAAAGTCTTGATTCTTCCTCTTCTTCATATTATTATCATTATTATCGCGGGGCTCCAGAGCCCCATACTCATCGAATATGATCAACTTCTGTTGGTTTGGTTTTCACGTGATTGACAGAGCGTACGTACGTAGGTACGTACGTACGCGTCTACAGATTGCACGGGTGGGGTAGGGGAGGCTATCAAAAGTAAGGGGGTGTCTCAGGCGTGTTTTGGCAAGTCCACATCTTTTATATTGGACATTCACAATATGGTTAATTGACAGCTGTCAAAGCAGGATAGCCACTGACCAGTATCCCATGACCATATCGCGGGCTCATGTGTCAGCTCATCGAGGTGACGTGGTTTATTTGGAAGCTGTCGGCTGACCAGTTAATTGTTTTACTAGATCGCGATCAATGTTCAATCCCATACTTTCCAGCTAGTTTGTGAGCACAGGGAAACTGATACACATATTGGATTTGACCGTATCGCGGGCACAGGTGTTGACCCATCGAGGTCAAGTATTTTTATTCGCTGACAAGGTACTAGTTTTCAAATGATCACAGACTCAAGTTTAATTCTTTTTTAAATTCAAATCAAATATGTTGTGTTTATGTGCCGCACAATTAAACTTTTGATTTCAAACTGACCTCGGACGCGAAAATTCAGCCAGCTGCTACAGGCAGGGAAGACAGTTGCTGTTGACTTTTCTCATCATGTTCACGCGTTGGTCACCCTCTAAACCAATTTTTATGCTCTGATTGGTCAAAATTTGACAGGTGAGGGTCATGCGGAAAATATATGCAGCATCTTGAATCTTGTTTACTTTGACAGCTGAATCTGACAGAGTTTTGTGTCAACTTGTGATGTTTTTAACCGTCTTTTTCCACTGGATGTGCAAAATGAAATTCTGCTGTTATCAAGAGTCTTCCGTTATTCATGGCTTAACTGGTCTTGATAATATTTCTGCTAAAATTGTACGTGAATGTGCTGATCTTATTTCAGTTTCACTATGTGATCTCTTTAATAAATCTTTAGTCTCTGGTATATTTCCTGATGATTGGAAATGTGCTAGAGTTACTCCGTTGTTCAAGGAAGGTGAGCCATCTGATCTGAATAATTATCGACCTATTTCAGTCATTTCCGTTATAGCTAAAGTGTTTGAAAGGATTGTTTATGATCAGTTGTATAACTTTTTGACCAATGAAGATATCATTTCTAATCATCAATCGGGTTTTCGCTCGTTACACTCAACTGCAACTGCCCTTCTGGAAGCTACGGATAATTGGGCCTTTAATATTGATCGTGGCAATGTTAATGCTGTGGTTTTCCTCGATTTAAAAAAAGGCTTTCGACACCGTTGACCACGATATCCTTCTAGCTAAAATGAACCTTTACGGAATACAAGGTACAGCTCTTGATTGGTTTAGGTCGTATTTAACTAATCGTACACAACGATGTCTTGTTAACGGTTCTCTTTCTAGAATCTGCTCTCTTAAATGTGGGGTACCGCAAGGAACAATCCTTGGCCCCCTTTTATTTCTTATTTATATTAATGACTTGCCAAACTGCCTTACTTCGTGCCAGCCTAGAATGTATGCCGATGACACCCACATTACTTATGCTGGCGTTGATGTGAATTCAATACAGTTAACTCTGAGTCACGATTTAGATAACCTAAACAAATGGCTTATTTCCAATAAACTTACTTTGAACACTTCTAAAACTGAATTCATGCTAATTGGCTCCAGACAAAAATTGAGTACTTTGTCGAACCCACTTGAGCTCTCGATTAATAATGTTCCGATAGAACACGTTTCCTCTGTCAAATCGCTTGGAATATTTATTGATGAAAATCTACGGTGGCAAACACACATTGATAAATTATCTAAAAAGGTCGCTTCCGGAATTGGAGCAATAAAAAGAATTAGACCTTTTGTCCCTCCACCTACCCTTCACTATATATACAACTCACTAATTCAATCTCATTTCGATTATTGCAATCTTGTCTGGGGTAATTGTGGTAAAACATTATTTGACAGGCTACAGAAGCTTCAGAACCGTGCCGCTCGCGTTTTAACCTTCTCTAGCTATGATGCTGATGCTAACCGTTTGATTAGACAACTCGATTGGAAAGACTTGAGCACTCAATTTCAAATACAGAAATCCATAATGGTATACAAGTCTTTAAATGGCCTTGTTCCTGAATATTTATCATCTAAGTTTGTTAAACGAAATGAAACGCGTTACTCCCTGAGGGACTCTGTTAACAAACTATTTGTCCCATTTCCGCGAACTAATTTCATGAAAAACAGCTTTACTTATAGCGGAGCAGTTCTCTGGAACAGCCTACCCTGTCATGTGAGAGAAGCCGAATCTCTTAGTCAATTTAAAAGATTAGTTAATGTTCACTTTTAATGTTATACACGGCATTCATGAAAAACAGGTTTTAGTTAGATTAGTTGTAGTCAGGTTTTGAATTTTGTTTAGGATAGTTAGGTTATTTTTAATTTTTTTTTTTTTTTTTTTTTTAAATTCCTGATGGATTTTACCGTGTTTAAATAAAGATTGACTTGACTTGACTTGATGGCTAGTTTGTTTACTGGGTTTTTGGTTGCGAAATACGTCACTTGTCAAAGTCGGAAATCCGATTTCGGATGGCATCGTTTTCGTTTTCACCTTGCTTGTCATTGATGCGTAAGAGGGTTGCAAAGTCTGAAGCGATAAAGTATGTGGTCCTTGGTCCGCGCAAGTCTGCGATGCCCTTGGTCCGCAACTTTTCCGAAAATGATAAAATATTTCGTCGAGAAAAAAAATATGTTGAATAATGAAAGATATCGTGATTTACTGATTAGCATTCTTTCATATGACGAAGTTTCGGCTTCTTGCTGTGGGTGAGGACGCGAAATTAAAGTTTGTTGAGAGGTAGGTTAATTTGTCTTTCTTGTAGTTTGGATTTTTGCGGCACCGTAAATTACATGGTCATGTTTACTTGGCCTGCGAATAAATAAAGGCCTACTCTGGGACCTTAAGTCGCCGTAATTTTAGGCGACTTAAGGCGATTTAAGGCGACTTTAGGAAAATTTGGTCAAAATGTTCTGCGACTTAAGGCGATTTAAGGCGACTTTAGGTGACTTAAGGAGAAAAAGGTGCCATTTAGGTGAGTTACATGTTAGTGAATATGTTGCAGTTAATTTTTTATTTCAGTTAATTTTTGGCTTTCCTTTGTTTTAAATTCATTAGTATACATAACCATACCCAGAAACGATGGAAAAATAAAATTAACTGAAATAAAATTAACTACAACATATACAAAATCAAAATCTACTGATAACACTACCTCTCTAGGGTCACAATGTTGTAACATAAGTTAATTCAGTCTTGAAGACATCTACATTAGTCTTCCAAATTTTCAACAATCTCAGCTGCTTAATATTTTGAACATTAAATATCAAGGTAGCTTGTGTTGCAAGTGTATTCTAACCCTGGTTAGTAACATTTGCGAAGCAGCACTAATATCCTTGTTCTAGGCCCTGATGTACTAAATGAATTACCAGCATTTTAAGTTTCCCCTCAACATGATTGGCAAATGAACAATGGCATTTTTAACAGTCCAGTCCTGGCATGCACTCAAATCCTGATACACACACAGGGGGCCCAGAACTAGGATTTTGCCGCTGTTTTGCAGATGGAATTAACCCAGAGTTTAGTTGCATCTGTGACACAGGCTACTATCAAGGGTATTGGTTTAGTATTACATTGGCAGAGACAAAATCTGAGTTAGAAGCAATCAAAAGGGTAAATTTTCTCTTGGTCTTTAAAAGCATTAGTTTACAATATAAGGGACAAAAAATGGATGGTTCCTAAACCCTAAAAGTAGAGTATTTTAATACATCTCTTTAAAATACTGTAAACTGGTTTGTAGCAAAAACTTTACATTGAAGTGTCTTTTTTCATAATTTGAGAACAAATATTTAAGTAATTAATTTAAAACATCTAAAATCACTTATCGATATCGCACATTATGGAAATGACGATCCCCATTGTATGTCTTAGCAGTTGCTCTGCCAATGTTTGTCCCCACACGTTTGGCTAAGAGGGTGTTTTTCCAATTGAATTTAAAACAAAAAGTTTGTAGTTCTCGCCGTATATATATTGCTCCTTTCCTGTCTCAGTCAAACAAAATACTCCACATACTTGCTTCGGTAGTGAACCGTACTCTCTCATCCATGGTCTCTTTGGAAACTTTCCAGTCGGGTTGATTTCATGAGTGCATTTATGCACCAGCAGGAACAACTAAGCTTAGCTTCAACCATGCAACCTCGCTCTGTTCCACGCGGCAGCGTTTACGCTCTCAGCACAAAAGGAAGCATTATGCGTCATGTTTAAACCGATGGCAGTACCAAGTGTAAAACTTTCCATTATTAACTCAGAAATTTCCATTTAAAAGGAGATCTTCAAGCGAAAACGCAACGTACAATTGACAACAACAAGAGCACATTTCTATCCGCCATTTTCTTTCTCCCAGAATTCCACGGCAGTCGCAACCTAATTTCCATTGTTTGTCGGTCCCGCCCTCTCCCCGCCTCCAGATCAGTTAGTCACGTGATCAAAACACAACACCTTCTGGGCGGCCATAACGCGGAGGAATTCGCTTTTCTACGTTCTTCATCAATAATGATCGATTACATCAAATCGTTTGGCAGGGAGCAATCACGACAACATAAACAAAGCGCAGTTTTACGCACCTGCGATGTACAAAACTTGAATTTCTGTCTAGAAGGGAAGACCTAAAGGCTAAGCTAAGTGGTCAAGTTCATAAGAGTGATTGTGTTTCTGTCAATGATAGATGGATATAATTCGACGGTAAATACAGATCAGAGGTTGTGTGCTGGAGAAAAAAAACTTATCATTAGTTGCTCTTAAAATCTGGGTCGGTAATTTACATGGACACTTTTTTCGATAGACCTTTAGGCTTGTATTAACTACTAGAAAATTTAGATTAATGTTTGGCGGCAATAATTGTTTTTTTTTTTCTCCCTGCAACCTTCCCCTGCTAGCAGAGGTCTGCTAGTAGGGAACCTGCAACCTACCTGTATTAAATGCATGCAATGGCGAAAATGGCAAAAATGTCGAAAAATCACCAGAGGGCTGGCGATTCAAATTGGATTCAAATTGAATGCCGAAAGTGGCCCCTTGGAGAGTGGCCATTTTGGCGAAATTGGCGATTTTGGCGAAATTGGCGATTTTGGCCAAAATGGCAAATTTAGCAAAAATGGCGAATTTGGCACGAATGCGAGATATATAATTCAAACAACGACCGCAAGCCTGGGAAATTAAGGATACCTATCTTGCAATTTTTGGTAAGTAAATTGTGATAAACATTTCGACAAGTACCATTCACTGATAAGGTAAGAACCTGCATGTTTCAGATAACTCGACTAATTTTTAAAGGGATCCTTTTGCCAATTCATACAAATCAACAATCTGTATGTTAACATACCTATTTGCTTAATTAGAATGTTTGGCCAAATACGTCATTTTTCCTAAACTCGCCATCTTTAAAGGAGTCCCTTTCCCATCTTATTTGAACTTTGTTAACAATTTAGCGATTTTTCGCCTTTTCTGCCATTTTCTACAAAATCGCCACTTCCAAAAGGGGCCCTTTGCTATCTCATTTGATATTTTGTTAACAAGTTGGCGATTGTTCGCCATTTTCTACACTTTTAGGTGACAGGTTGAAAAAATCGGTTAATCGTCTGTAATTAACTGGAGCAGCCAGCGCAAGGATTATTGCTTATTTGATCCAGACCAGTTGCTTTTCGACATCTTATTTTGGCGGTAACTTCAAAACTTTCGAGATTTCAATTTTAGTAAACTTAAAGCAGGAAGGTTCTCGTTTTAGGCAGTCTTCCGCATTTATAGATACTTTAGGAAGATTTGTAGCAAGGTTTGGACCAATCTGGGTGAAATGGCAATTGAAATGATTTGCCATGGCTACAGATTATGTTAGGTGGGGTCTTCCTCTTCAGGGGCACCCAACGAGAATATAGTGCAAAACCGCTTAAACATAGTATTGTTGAACGTATTTTAGTATTTAAACGGTAGATATAGGCATATTTTTATCCCCTAGAAATTTTTCGTCTGTTCGGATTTCCTAGCTGAAAGTCTAGTGATCCGAAAATTATAGGGATCAAAACTTACCTTTTCAAAAATTTCAGCCAGAAAAAAGGCTCCCGAAAATTATAGGTGACCTTTTTACGGTAAAACTCCGTTAAAAATGGGCAATTATACCATTTTTTAGATGTTCGAAAATCCTAGGACAGGCAGGCAAGCAAGAAATTTTACAACAAATGTTTCGAAAATTCTAGATCTCAAATCATCTTCCGAACAAACATTTTCCGAAAATTGACGTTGGGTGCCCCTGACTCTTCCGAGTGGTCTCAAGCGCTACCAGGAGTCCTTCTTCGACATGCTCCTCGAACGTTTGACTACTGTCGAGGTGAACCCCCAGGTACTTATACGTGGATGCTCTCTCACAGTCCCTTTTCCGTCTCTAGAAATTAGTGTCCTTCTATGGACTGGGTTTTACAGATCCAGCAGCAGTGAGTGATGACTGGGGTGGAGTACATGAACTTGCCACACATTACGTTCAGTTAATAAGTAGGGAACAGAGTCATGGTCCTTACTTTCTCGGTGGATATTCATACGGAGGACTTCTCGCGTATGAAATGGCTTCCTTGTTGACGGCGCAAAATCAAAGAGTGGAGTTCGTAGCGATGATTGATACATTTCCCTGGACTCAGCCCTCATCGACTGTCGCCATCAGACAGCCTTACATGCAGGGGCATGAAAACTCGCAACGTCGACATGTCGAGGTTTGTCAACATCTTGGTCGATGAAATGTCTATTTAAAGCTCTATATTGACAAGTTGCTGGTGGTATACATAATAAACTTTAGGTTTCTTGACAGACTCTTCACCAACTCTTTTGCAATTTAAAGACTAAAAGGAAAATTGAGTCAACTTGTTTCCTCAAACAAAATCTTTTTGCTTGAGACGTTATTTCCGACAAAGTGTCAAGATTCTACCGCTACACGTCGGATTCTCGACTCTCATTTCATTCTTTGTTACTTCATTCTATGCTTTGTGTTTGATGTATTACTGACAAATTGTAACGAAGAGTTATTGCATTTTAGCTCCAATTTGAAAATTATCTCAGAAAGCTGGCAATAGACTCACTGAAGATGACATCGGATGAATACCACAAGATGAGAGAGGAGAACACCAAAGAATGGATCATAGAAGAACTAGAAAAAAGGGCGTTTGAGAAAGGTCTAGCAAACTTCAATTTGAGAACACTGAGAGAATCTCTTCTGAAGGATCAAATTGTCGCCAGTAGGACACATGTAGAGTGGCAGCCCGCAGAGGTACAAGAAGATCTCTGTTTCCTTTCTGTTTCTGTTTGCTCAAAACAACGATATCGAAAGAAAACTAGTAGTCGATAAGTTCTCCTTGGAGAGTTTTTTCGAACTCATTTACTGAAAAGAAATGTTTATTTGGACTTTAGTCTTTTTCTTGAATGTTTTAAGAAGTCACTCAAAAACCTCTTAACTATTTATTAGTTAACTTACGCATCATTTTGAATTCGCCTTAGTGCTTGTACTTTGCACAGAGCTCTAGCCTATATTTTATGAAAATACTGAAAGCTTATCTTTCATGAGACGATTTTTTTACGTGTTCTTTATTGATAGTTCCGTTACCGAGGTCCACTCACTTTCCTTAAATGTCAAGATGCCTGCTTCTCCCCAATCTCACTCGATAGCAGCGAAAAGATGTGGGGCCAGTTAGTGGATGGTGGGACAACTGTACTTGTTTGCCCTGGAAATCATTATTCCATGAGTGAATCGCCTAACGCCACTGTTACCGGTAGCATCTTAGCAACAGCTCTAGCATTCAAGTACCGTTTGCTGTTCCCAGAATTCCCCAGGCACACGAGAACGTTCAGTCAGAGAAGAGCCGTAGAAAAACTCTCCAGTGGGGCAGCTGTGTTCCTCCACTCAAAGAAAGGTAACGATATTATATATATATATACGTTTCAGTAACGTTTTCATCTAGAGAGATATATATGTATCATGGGGGAGGGGGGGGAGGCGGGGGGTTCATTTGTAACATACGCGTATAGCTGTCGCATTTGCACACTGGAATTTTTTATTGTTTTTAAGCCTAAAAACAACAACAAAAATCCCAGCGGGAAAGTGCAACAACTATACGCGCATGTGGCAAATTAATCCACCGATAGATAGTTACATACTTTGCTTTCTTGCACGTTCGCCCGTGTACATTTTTCACTTGTCATTCTCCAACTTGCGAAACATCTCGGTTTAATGATAAATAGTTTGTCCTTCGAGGTCTTTGTTTCACTTTGAAAAGAACACGTTGTTTGAGGTAGCCGAGTTTTAAGGCACACATACACAAAAAACAAGTTTTAATATTCTGTGTCGTTTGCGTACAAACGGCAATGTTCGGCCATGCCGAATTGGTAGGCCAAATGTCATGGCTTCCAATGGATACTGAAGTAAAATAACGATTGCATGCAAACTTTATTTCAATGAAATCCACGAAACGACTAGACTGACTTTCTGTACACTTACCGATGTTTAACCTAAAAAAAAAATCGAGTGATTCATTAATAAAGAACTACTGTATAACCAGAGAATCCATATAGTGCGGCCCCATGTTGAAAGATCAAGGGGTTTGAACGGTAGTAAATAATCTATATTGTATCTCAGGTTAGGATATCACATGGGCTTCAAGGCTGTAACATTATTCCGTTGTGTGACGAGACAAATGGGCGACTATGATGTATAAAATAGCATACGGACGGTTTTGACGTTGAGTTAAGTCATATTTTTTGAAGCTTATTATTATCTTCTTATCTTGATGTGTGACTAAATTTTGGAACCTGCTTATTCTTAGAATTAGTTTCAAATAAAAACAAACACAGAGCATAATGCAAGTAATGCATTCCCAAAGATTTTAACCAATAACAACAAGCATTAATATATCTCACTGATATATTATCCGTATGTTCTTAAAATAAATGCTCTATAATGAAAGGTTGTATATAAAATACATGACTCCAAAATCAAATTGGATTGTTATTGACAAATACACAATAAAGACATATTTAAGCATCTTCGATTTAGTGAATCGTCACTGAATTGTACATATTAGTTTCTGTTGCATTCATTCTTTTACTTCATAAGATCAATACAAATAAGTATTTTTTATGAGCAGGAAAACCTTTATTCAGTTTGCCCACCTCGCTAAGCAAATCGCTTGTTTTATTTGCCTCTTATGACCTCAATAGTGATTCCGTTTATTCGCCTCGTTGCTCCAGAAAAAGCAAGTGAACTACAACAAGAAGGTTTTCTGCTAAAAAACGATTCCGCTGAGTTGATTGTTTAGGGCGCTTTGAAACTAATTGTCTCCTCTTGACGAGGTTCATGATCCACAACGATCGACAGCTGATACCTGGTTGGACTCATGGAAAGAAAGTGCTGCGAAACACATGAAAGAACTTTGTCTTCCCCTCGAGTCTTCTCTTAAACGTTTGCTGCCTTTCCAAAATACTTAACTTAACTTAACATGACAAGTAAATGAGTAACTTACCGGCTGCGTTACTGTCCCTCGCACTCGCGTCCAACTCTGAAATGCCAACCTCATTCACAAAGTCTAACCAAGAGGTCACAGATTCAAGAGTGCTAAGAAACTCTTTAACAAGTTTATTGCCATTTCCTTTTAAAGCGTGTTCAGAAAGAATCATAGATTTTCACTTTCTTAGCGCTCACAAAGATAAAATATTTTGGCCACCATTTTACTTTGCTAGCGTGCTGGATAGGGTGCTACGCGACGGAGACTGGGAACTGATAAAACAGCGAAACACTACCAGACACGTCGAGTTCTCAGACGCTTTCAAGACAAAGTAGTTAGCTTCCCTGTGAGGGCCGCAACAAAGTTACGTGTGCCCTTAAGTGAGCCTTTAACTTATCACGTAAAACAGAAAATTACGAGAGTGCTACGTGCGTTCCATGTAACACCCGTAAGCGCACCCATAACGGATTCTTAAGTGACCTACGTAAGTGAGCACTTAGTTGTGGGTTTTATGCAACCGGGAACAGGGCGTTCTTAAGAGAAGCTGTAAACTAACTAGAAAAAAAAAGCATTCAGTGGCTTCGACAACTCTTTTTCCCCATTTCATCTGCGTTGTAAAAATTAAAATCTTGAATGTTTTTTCCGTTCAAATTTCCTTTTATCGCACGAATCATTGTAAATCCGGATTGACGTCAAAGCTTATCCTGTAACGAAAACAATTAGATGACCTACAGCTGACCGAATTTCGCATTCTTTCATTGTCAAGAGTATGCCAAGAACGAAGAAAATTGCAGACAATATTCGTGCATTCTTCATTCTCTTTACTTCTTTTTGAAAAATTGGAACAATTAAAGAACCCGACGAAAAGAAAATTTATCGTTGAAACGAGTGTTTTTCACAAGTTGGGCAAAAACAAGTCAAGAGAAAAGAGCAAACGGCCGTATGTGCAAGAAAGCAAAGTAAGGTATATATCTATCTATATATCTCTCAAGATGAAAACCTTTTTGATAACGAGTGTATACAGTATACACTGTATCAGAAGCATATAACCCCGAAGACAAACAACTTTGTCGCAATGTTCGGGTTTTTTAGGGAACCAATCAAAATTTACTTCCTAATATGGAATTACTGATAAGCGAGATTGTCGTGCGAGTGCTCTATGACAAAACTTGTATCGTGATGTAAATGATGCGGTGCAAAAAGCATTTACTGTTTTACGAGGTAATATTCGACAAAAAACGGAATACACTATTAATCCACAACTGACCAAGGCTGAGTTAGTTCCCCCTAACAAGACAAAGTCGACTACCAATGACATGCACCCTATTAAAAGAGAAGCGATTTGTTAAAGTTGTTTCTTCAAAAACGATTTTTGTCTGACCATTAGCGCAAATAACCTTAAAAAAATCAGTTACCATCTATCTAGAATATTTAAACTAGTAACACATATTTTCAAAAAAAAAATTCACTAGTTGCTGAACTGGAAAGTATAAATTGTATAAAATTCACTGACATCTTCGCAGAAGTGATGCGGGTAATAAGACACTGAATAAGAAGGATGAAACGCAAGTTAATATTAAAGACTTAGATGCGGCGATCATGTTTTCAACTAATGTTATGAATGAAATCGAACAAGCAGAAAACAGTAAAAAAACAAATTGTTTCTTGAAAATTTTTATTCGAAAGCCCATAAGTTTACCGTTAAAAGGAATTCACGTAACACTGACTGGATCGTCAGGATTCGTTTCCACAAGTAAAATCGGCTGAGCACATGGCAAAAATTAACACTAAAATTATCTGTCTCAGATCGGGCGCATTTCCCAATTTATAAAACGTCTATGAAACATTTATAAATACATAAATTTCCTTTCGTCATCGTACTTTTCTTGAGCATAATGTGTAAAATGTAAGTTTACCTGAAAATTCTGTTAAACGGTTGCTGACTTGGTCGGAATTCAGAAAAGGACAATCGCTCGGCCGGGAAAGAAACAAGGTCGAAGTCCCCGAAGGTTAATTTCGCAGCTTAAGACTTTTCTTCGTCCCCATGTCACACGTCTAATCAAAACTACCATACATGTGTTCGCGTACCGTTCTGAATGAATTAAAAAATCTACAGTGACTCACAGAAAAAACATTCCGTTCCGACTTCGTCGGCGCCTTGTACAACGTTTTTGCAAAGCTTGCCATATCATTTTGTTTGTAGTCGCCATGCTGGTTTTGCTGAATGAGAACAGAAGTTGCAGATAACGTAACTAGTTTGCCGAGGTAGATAGGTGTGCAGCTAGTAGCCTGAGGATGATCTTTGTTGGTCAAAGAGGCTGCAAACGCATTTTGCTGATTTCGGCGAGAGGCTTTGCGATATCGTGAAGAAATGTAAACATCCTTGTCTTATTTCGTCGCTGGTTGATGTTTTCAAGCCATACCGCTTATAACTTTGTGGCTCTTTATGTTTTCCCAGGGTTGCATTTTATAGCAGCATAATTACTTTATCTTTTATGCCACTAAACGATTTCTTTGGGTTGTAGACAAATATGTATAAGCGTTGCAAGGTCAAAGTTTTTAGCCTTGAATTCTCTGATTCCACATTTGAGGAAAATAATTTTCCGTACTTCTGATTGGACGGCTGAGTTGGCTAGAAAACCCGAGCATGGTTCTAAACAGATAAGGAGTATTTAGACGTTTCGGGGTTATATGCTTCTGACTGTATATATACTATTTAAGAGCATATAAGTCTGTTATTGATATCAGTGGTGCTCAATCCGTTAATGTAATGTTTGCATAACTTTGTCAGTACTTGGTTAAAAGTAATGTAGACACAGCGAGCTCTGAGAGGGATGCCATTTGGAGCAGCATCATCTGTCTTATGTGTCCCCGTTAACGAAAGCAAAAGGATGTGACTTACAGCGGGACCACAGCGCTATCAACAAAGATCGTTTTTATTATTCGACGACGGTTTTTTTGGACATTCAATTTCACTTTAATTTGCCGTTTTTACCCTTAGGCTGGCACTTTGTGCCTCGATAGCTGCATGTCTCGAGGAAATTACAATTATTTTAGGACTGGAAAGCTTGCGCGCATGCCTGCCCAGTTTTTCATCATTCTTTGCCACAATATCTGTCTAATGAAATGGAAAGGTTGCAAAACGCGCGTTGCGGATAATACAACCCGACGTATCCTATGCTGAGGCTCTAGTAGCTCTAGACGTCACGTCACTGTACGAGAGGAGGAAGGCCTTGAGTAATGCTTTATTTGACCAAATTGTAAGGGTCCAAAGCCACAAGCTCCAGTCAACTTCCCTTTTGTGGTTTTTCCTTTTTATGTACAAACTAATACAGAAAATGCACAAAGGAAGTCGATCGCCGTTTTCCGTTTTAAATGCAAACTAATACCAAAAAGACCAAAAACGAAAATCAACTTCCGTTTTCCGTTTTTCGTTTTACGTGTAAAT